TTTTCTGTGAGTACAATAGCCAGCTTCTCTTGATTCTTTCCCCATTTACCAGTTTTCTATAAAAGTATTGGTGGTGGCAGCTTCTCCCATCCTGTCTTTTTGGAAAAATGAAGTGTGGTTTTGCCTGATAGGGTCCTCTGCTCACAAACTCTGTTCTTACCTTATCAGACATGGATGGCCAGTCGGCAGGGTCAACAGCTGCTGCCTTTGTGGTGTCACGTGCTGCAGACTGTGTTGTGGTACTCGGGATCAATGTTTCCCCTGCAGATTGTGTAGCAGCAGGTTCACTTGGGAAAGGTAGTGATGCGTTTTCACCTGCAGACAGTCAAACATGCATGGATACAGTCAGACACCCACTGTGTGTGTGTGTGTGTGTGTGTGTGTGTGTGTGTGTGTGTGTGTGTGTGTGTGTGTGTGTGTGTGTGTGTGTGTGTGTGTGTGTGTGTGTGTGTTTTACATTAACATGTACATTATTAGTAAGAGAAGTGCTATTGTAATGTGCAATAATAAACTGGACTCACATGCTGCAGACTGTGTTGTGGTACTCGGGACCAATGTCTCTCCTGCAGATTGTGTAGCAGCAGGTTCACTTGGGACAGGTAGTCGTGATGCGTTTTCACCTGCAGACAGTCAAACATGCATGGATACAGTCAGACACCCACTGTTTTACATTAACATGTACATTATAAGTAATATAGGTGCTATTGTAATGTACAATAATAAACTAGAAAACTGTGGTACTGTGCTGGGAAGCTTCCAGGTGTGAACATGTGTATGAACTACCCACAACCCTAATAAACTCAACAGGCAATATCACAAAAAACTTGACTGAACTCACCTGCTACAGGCAGCGATGCAGTAGACTCAGGTTGTGCAGTGGTGGGAGTGGGATTACCCAGATATTTTAACAATGCACCTGGAAATTACACAGAGAATAATGTAGTAGGTATCTATCTGCAATAATACTGAGCAGTTCAGACTAGCTGACATAATTTCCTGTGCCCAAATATGCAAAATATATGTTTTAAGTGATAACCTAGCTAGTTAATGATTTAGCAGACTTATTTTGTGGCCATTACCATTTGTAAGCTACAGATGGAACAAAAATAAATAGCTTTAATAATAATAAATATATATAATGAATACAAGAAAAACCACACAGTGCAGTTGGTGTAAAAAGAGCTATCAAGCTAGATGGTAAAGCAACTCATCTGCTAGCTTCTATCACTATATATCAGCTGCTATCATTAGCTAATGTTAGCTAGCTAGCTTTATACCGTTGCTTGAAAAATGCCAATAAACACAAACAGTCATCAGACATACCTCTGTTTTCCTGGAGTTTTTCCTCCTCTCCCTTTCTTCGCCTTTTCCAATGCGCCCCAGACGGCTTTTTGTTGGGGTTGCCCCGCTTCATGTTGTGACAGTGAAGTTCTAATTCTCGTTCAAGACGCGAGCGCGCGCGACACGCGAAACACAAATGGACAGTACCAAAGAAAACATAGAGAGGGGTTGTGCAGTGTTGGGGCGCCCCTACGTTTTATTTTTCATATTCTCAAAAAAACTAATGAATCCTGATCTGAGCAGCGCCTAAAAAAGGAATCTGGAGGGCGCCTACAAAAATAAAAATATA